TGATAGTATTTACCTATTTTTTTTATCATCAATACTGTTCATTTAAAGCTCATTTAGGTTCATTTTCCAACATTATACTGTTTTCATTGTTCTATTAATGCTGTTAATTTCTAAGTTTAAAGTTGTCATAAAATATTTCAATATATATAATAATTTAAAAAGAAATCGTAAATAAACAAAAGTGATAAGAATTTGCAGAATTTTTCTTTCTATCAAAAATTATATCGGAAAAAGAATGGTTTTTCTTTTTTCATTGAAAATGGTTGATAAAGATTGTACAGAAAGGTATCGTTTCCATTTAGGATAGAAACCTAAAATTAGCTATAGTAATTAATAATATACAGTACTAATGGTTCCTATCGTACGATAAATGAATAGATGCTTATTTTAAGTAAAATTTAAATATAATAAGATGATAAAGAGATTTTTCTTAAAATAATATTTTTACATACAATTTTATTCAATCAATTAGAAGACGATTTAAAGTAACAGTCAGATAGAATGTGAATTAATAAAAGAATAATAACTCATACAATTAAGTTCAAAATTAATATACACTAAGTTCATACATAATAACTTCAAAATTAATATACATTATGTTCATATATAATATATTCAAAATTAAAAATTCAGGTGTTAATCAAAAAATCAGTAATTAAATGAAAATAAAATAAAAATTTATTTGTTCAACAAATTTATTTTTTCTTTCAATAATTCGACTCCTAATTTTGTAATTTAATTCTTTTGTTTTTCTTATACTAATTAGCATTTCATTTATTAAATGTACCTTTTAATTTTTTTTCCTTAGAATAATGTTATTAAAATATATTTTTAATCGATATAAAATATTTTATTGATTAAATGATATATTTTTTTCCTTTAATTGCTACAAATAATAAATGACAGTTTCATATTTTTAATGACAAACAACGATAATAACAATTCGAATAATGTTGTTGACAAAAAAAAGGTAGTTCTTTTTATTTGTTTACATAGGAAAAATGAGAGATTGCTGTAAAAATGATACTGCAAAATGTTTGTTGTAAAAGAGGCGTATATGTATCAGCTTGTTATTTCTATGTCATGCATCATCATCATCATCACCATTATTATCATCACCATCATTATCATCATCATTATCATCATCATCATTATGTATCAGCTTGTTATTTCTGTGCCTTACATCATCATCACCATTATTATTATCACCATCATTATTATCATCATCATTATCATCATTATGTATCAGCTTGTTATTTCCGTGCCTTACATCATCATCACCATTATTATCATCACCATCATTATTATCATCATCATTATCATCATTATGTATCAGCCTGTTATTTCTGTGTCTTGCATTATCATCATCACCATCATCATCATTATCATCATCATCGGATCGATAACGATCGAAATATATGGATATAATATATATGCATTAGATTTGACAGCTTTTGTTGTTAAAAATTTAAATCATACGTTTATTTCATTTCTATTCATTCCACACTCTTCACTTATCATTGCATTGTACATATATCATTCATCCTCCATTGTAATTTGTTGTAATTATTGGATATTAAACCTATTCATTATTATCTCAATCAATTTTATTTCATTCTATTCCTTTTCATTTCATTTCATTTCATTCATTTCATTCATTCATTTCATTTCATTCATTTCATTCAATTTCATTCATCATAATTCAAATATATTTTTCTTTCTTCGTTTTCCCCTCTTTTGCTTTGATAAAATGAATACACAGAGCCCCCCATATTCAATGCTTTTCAATCTCAGCTGCCCCACCCTATATACTATTACTATCATTATTATCCGCACATTGTCAACACCGTTTGCTGCAATGGCTGTCCTGTTTTGTCATCACATAATATTTGTCACCTCATCGGTATGCCTTATTTCACTATGTTTCATCATCAATAGTATATATAAAATTTCATCAGTTTGTTATTGCCAGCTACAAAAAAAAAATTCCTTTTTATTTTATTTAAATATTCAAATTTTTTTAGAAGAATTTCCAGAATTGTTTTTTTCCCACCATTAATACTTTTGTTTAAGTTGAAATTGAAAAGTTTGATTAATTTGAATCAAAGATTTCCAATAATCTTTTATAAATGAAATTATAAGAGAAAATGAAAATTAATTTCAGGCTGACTTATAAATATTATTAATTCATTTAGCAATTCATTTCAGGTTAATTTAATAATATTATTAATTAATTTAGCAATTCATTTCTGGTTAATTTATAAATATTATTGAATATTATTAATTCAAATATTATTAATTCATTAATTCATTAATTCATTAAAATATTTTTCATTACAATAAATAAATTTTTATTTGCTAAAATTTAATCAATATTATTTTGTCTTAATTATTCAACACTCTTAAAAACTTTTAATTATTGTCAGAATATTTTTTAGATTTTTTAATTTTAATAATTTTTCATTTTTATTTATTTTTTTAAGGCAACAATATTTAATACAGTTAATGATGCTGTCATATGTTATTGAATGATTCGTTAAAATTTTACACCTTTATTGTAATAATTCTGGTAAATTGAAGTTACATGATCTTTGATGATTGATTTGATGAGTGGAAAGTGAACGAAGTGAAATTTTTTTGTATCATAGAAATTAATAAGTTAATCAATTTATGCAATCTCTTTTATGATACCGTTTTTTTTTGATTTTATAAAATTAGTAAAATTTCATTTTACTAATTTTCTCTTCCTTTGATTTTCATTATTAAATTACATTCTTTTCGAAGTTAATTAAAAGTCAATTTATAAGTGCCACCCTTTACTCATTAAAATATATACTTTTTATAGACAAAAGGGAAAAAACTTTTTAGTAATTAGACTAAAACTTAGCTAAACTACAATTTACACATAACATAATTTATTTTTAGCTTTCAAATGAATGCATCCATAACTACTCAATTTTCACCAACATCCTAAGAATTTGCTTAATGGATGAATGAGTTTTAATGACTTGAGAAAGGATACCGTAGTAACGTCGAAAAAGGAAATGAAAAAAATAACATAACCAAAGATTCTTTTAACAAAAAATGAAATCGAATAAAACTTTAAAAAAACGTTTAATAAACAATAAGAAATGTAATCTATAATTTTTCTCGAACAATTAACAATAACCTTATCAAAATTATCATTTATTGATAATATATTTTATCAGTTAGATCTCTAATTGTTGAAAACAAATTTTATCTTATATTTTTCGTCTTACTTATTCAACTTATTTATTCGCTTCTTACCAGTCACACACAAAAAAAAAAAATCGATCGGCGTTTGAAAAACTTTAGAATGAGGCCTTTTTCTTATTCGATGCAACTATTTGCATAACTCTTTTAATGATGAATTTCTAGTAAGTAGTTCATTTCCCTTAAATAAAATATCTATAGGAATGAAGAGATAAATAGGCGAATAAACAACAGACACATAACACACACACACACACACACACACACACACACACATACACGCACACACACTTAAATATATTTTCATCATTTTACCGTAATCTAAATGCTGTCATTTCAACAACCGGATGAAAAGGAGAAAAAAAATGAAGCACTGATGATTGTCGATCATAAATTTTCAGAAATCCATAAATTTTATATTTATTGCAAAAATTTATGATATAAAGAAGAGAAGAAAAGAGAGAGAGAGAGAGAGGGAGAGAGAGAATAATGACTATCCTGTTGATTGTTTACAATTTTTGAGATTAATTAAATGATATCGTTTTTTTTGAACAATAATAATATAATAATAAGGAAATGATTGAGATGTATAAAATATTAAAGAGATCCAAATAGATGATGATACCTTTCTTTTTTTGAAATATAATGGATGATAGCATATTATGAAATTTCTCTCAGAACTTCTACGATCACATTTTTATTTCTTGTAAATAGAGTCTATCTATTTTTTAGTAGACTTATTCTTTTGAAACTTGGCAACGTTCTATTAAGTATCAATTATAAATTCGATATAAGTTTATTATTTTGGAACTTGGCAATATTCTACTGGATATCAATTATGGATTGATATAAGTTTATTCTTTTGGAACTTGGCAATATTCTACTGGATATCAATTATAGATTGATATAAGTTTATTCTTTTGGAACTCGGCAACATTTTATTAGATATCAATTATAGATTCGTTGTTTAATGTCTGTTATCTGTAAATAGGCCAATTCATTAAAAAAAAAAAACTAAATAGCAATGAAATTATCTCCCACGATATAAATTTATGTCGAAATTACAATGGATAATTTGAAATAGTAATGGCAAACCTTCTACGCTCCCAAGCAACTCAAATTACTTCTTTGTACCCTATCGCAAATATTTTATATTTGTGTATGTTTGAGTGCGTGCATGCACGCTATTTGCATGGATTAGACATGAATGATTACATGACATCAAAGAATGATGGAATTGTTTGGTGAGTATTGCTACTTATTTGGAAGTGGTAATTTGCTACTAGGTACTAGATACGATCGGCTTCCCGTAGCGTTAATTGATGTCCAACATCGAGGTCATGACCTTTGTATGCATCTTAACTTTATTCATTGATAGTAGAGGGATTTCTGGATCGGAAGAAGAAAAAGAAATAATTGTATAGACAAAATTGGGAAATGTAAACACGAAAACTTTTGCAATAGATCACCTGTTGAGAGAAGAGATGATGATATTAAGATTTCCCAGGACCTAATTTGCATAATTGGGATAAGAAATGATGGTAATATTAGTATCAGGCGATTTAAGGTTCACAAACATCGAATAATTATATCCTGTGTGACCGTTTCGGTTGTTATATTGGTAGGCAACAAAATAATTTGATCATACCATTTGCATTAACATATATAGAAAAATGCTGGGATATGTCATCAAACAGACTGTAACCGGTTGTGAATCTTTTTTGCAAATCGCGCAATTAGCTTGCAGTTCACTGCGCAATACAACTAATTATACTCTACGATTATTGCAGCAACCTCTACTAAAAGTGTTATTCACACTCGAAACGATCTGCAAACATACATGCCACTATTTGCATTTTCAATTGCAAGAAAAAAGACTAATTAAATTTTTAATTGTTTTTTGCATGAATGAAATGAAAGGAAGGAAAATTATTGCTTTAAAGAAATTTGTGAATTGAAATCATAAATTTTTTGACAATAATATTTGTTGTATTTTTTTCATCAGGAAAAAGTCGAACTTTTCTTTATAATTTTTAAATTGAAAAATTTTACAGCTGAAATTAATATCAATTTCTTGGAGCAATGAAAAGACCGATTATTTTTGAAGTGAATCATTTTGGTACCGTAGTTTACACTTTTTGATTGAATCATTTTTCAGTTCAAAAAAAAGCTGCCATTATTTTCCGTAAATTGATTTCCAAAAGTTAATAACATAAACTTCTATTAAAAATGAACGAATGATAGTATTTTTCTTTCCGGAATATGCAAATTCTTGAATTGGATAATCTGATCAATCAATACTAACATCAATATTGCCCTTTTTATTTCGTTATTAATTGTTGAGAAAAAAAAGCCTAAAATTAAAACTGTCAAATATAATTAATCTTATTGATTAAACTTTTATAAGTTTTCTAATACATTCTCATTGTTTTTTTTTCTTTGAATAGCACAGGAAATAGGGAGAATTTTTATTTTCGAAATAAATTATTATAAAGAAAGAATGCTATTTATAAAGGAGAATGGAAAGGGAAAGTGATTTGGAACTATTTATTTTTGTTTATCGAATTTTAGCAAAAAACGGAAAGAGAGATTCAGGAAAAACAAACCCGTAAAACATTCGTGCATATATTTAGATGATAAATATAATTTAAAATATAAATAATAATTTAATTCAAAGCGCTATTTCCTTCCATCTATCATACTACATATACTACTAACTGATGAAAATCTATGTGCGATAAAAAGTTACAAGTAATTGAAGACGAGAAGATATATGTATATCTGTGTAGTAGAATTGTGGAAGTAGTAGAAATGAGTATAAAGAGAGAATAAATAGTATGATAGATGGAAGAAAATTAGATAAACGATAGCTCATCGAATTTCTATTGAAAAATAATATCGGAAGTAGCGCTATCGCAAACGATATAAATGAAATGAATTGAAAATGAAAGTTGAATGATAGAGGAAGATCGAGGAATGGGACGGGTTTGGTTTGGGAATGAATGAAGAAATAATGCGGGAGGACAATATCGTCTTTACCAGTGTTAAAAGTTTTCACAATAGAAAACAATACAATAGTAGTGTTGATTTTCTAAAGAAGATGAAGGGGTGGAGAATATGAAATTGTAAACCCGGAAGTTCCGGAATTACAAATCTTTAGTTTCATCATTCTTACGGATTTTAACTTGCAGCAGCACATCTATTTTAAATTATATTTATTAATTTATGTTTTATAAAATCAGACTACTATTTCTTACAGATAATATTCGTATTATTGAATATCATTCTAAAAGTATAAAAATTCATTAGAAAATTAATTTCATATAATTTACTTAGACGAATGCTTATTTTTATTT